TACATCTTAAACAAATTAAGAAAAACAACCACAAGGATATTTTAGTAATTTTATTCTTTCCCAACCTTATGTGACTTAATAAACATCCAAACACAATTTTTTAACTCATTACCTTACTTTACCTACTTTCAATTACCTACCTAATAAAACATTTACCTACCTCTAACCAAACATACCCTTAAACTCCTCTTCAAACTTTCTCTCCGCCAGATTAGTTTAAACTCCTCTTCAATTTATATTACAATTTCACTAGACATGAGTTTGAAGCATCGGGACTTCAAACCTTTATTTTTTAAATTTTTAATGCACATTTTGTAAATTAAATTGATAAGATTTCATTAATTAATTGAATTTAAACGATAATAATTCATTAAATAAAAAATTACATTCAATAAAAATAACATTACATTTAATTAAAAAACGAAGTTAAATTATATTTAGCTTTGATCATGTTTTGTTTTCTCTCATAATACATATGTTTGAAATCCGTTAATGTATCAGGGTCGATTTCCATTATTTCCAGTTCCTTCTTCTCTTGCCTTCATTTCTCTCTCTCTCTTCCTTTCTCTCTCTCTCTCTCTCTCTCTCTCTCTCTCTCTTCTTCCCTAATATTGAACATCCGAAATTGTTCAACTATTGCACAACCGATATCATCGTGAGAAGAAACAAAATCAGACTCTGCAGAACCCGAGGCAATGAATTTTTCCTTCTTTCTTTCAATTGGTCGTTGAATAGGGTCCACGTCATCGGAGTCATATAGGTTGAAGAGAGTCCTTTATTCTGACGAGCCGATAGTGTCATCGGCCTCAACCTCGACGGAGGATCTTTTTTTGACAATCTGACCTCGGGATTATAGAGTTGCTAATATTTGGGTGAACGGATTAAAACTCTCCAAAGATCGACGGAGACTTTGCCTTGGTGTCCGTCATCTTGGTACTAGGCGGAGGCTTGTCGTAGAACATCGATATTGTTCATCCCGCTCTTCCAGATCGAGAGCACTCCTCGTAAATTCCGATAAATTTTTGAATTTTTCTCATGATGTGGCATCATTTGGAAGTGAGTTGGTCTCAGATTTGATAGGAAGCGTCCTTATTCGCTGCTGCAAAGAACTTTTCTCGATACGATCCCATATCGCATCCATCATTTGATCGGAACCCTTAAGAAATATTTCCTCCGTCCAAAAAGATGTTCTCATTTTGATCTTTATGAAATCTAATGGAGGAATATTTTGTGTTGACTTTCAAAAATACCCCTGATGTGATGGGTAAAAGTAGTTTGTAATGTGTAGATTATTAGTAAAATGGTATGATGTGATAGGTAAGTTTGGAATTAGTAGGGATAAAAATAGGTTTTTAATAGAAACGGGAAGAATTTTATGGGACAAGTGAAAAAAATAGGAAGGAGTTTTTGGGACGAATGGAGTATATAATTGAACGATATTTTTTTAACACAAATATAGAAAAAACATATATATAATATATATTTTAAAACATATAAACTTCACCAACGATGGGATACTCCGAGACGTCAACCCAGGCAGGCGTCAACAGTGATTCTTCCTCTGGTATTTGAAAGTTTACTACCATCAGTAAATAACCTGTAAAGGATAAATCCATGAAAGTTGTTACAGAGGATGCTATAGCACTGATTCTTTCAAAGTTGTCAGACAGAGTGTTATACCAACTTCTCTCTACATCACAAATGCACACACAGAATTGTAAAGAGCAACAAACACGACACACAAATTGTTGACGCAGTTCGGAGCAAATTCTCTTAATCTCTTACATCTACGAGGCCCACGTCCGTGTAACAGTCTTCCCACTATATGACTATATAGCTTACACCCTCAATAACAATAGACTCGATCTAAGAATTGATCTAAACTCTATAATACAATGGGAATGCAACAAACTTGGTTTGTGCATACATGTCAAAGACTGAAACAATTTTCAACTTATCTGTGACGTGTTACTGGCCTGAGCTCCAGTATAACTCAGATCAACTTCTGGAACGCTCCTTGAGTATTCAACGTATTTGCTTGTTGTGTGTCACACTCGATCATCATGATTGCATAAGCATTCATCAGCAACACAACGACATGATGATGATGACTGATCGGAAAAAACTCGTAGTAATATGATCTCTCTTTCTAACTCTTTGTATTTTCATGTCACACCCAAGAGAGTAGGTCGGCCGTATATTTATACTTATCTAAGAAGTCACCAACCCTAGCAGATTCCTTGTGTGACACCACGACAGCTCACAACAAACCACATTTAATGAGAGTTGTAGCTAGTGCAAACTCTTTAGAGGATATACGTCCATCATGCAGCAGCTATACGGTTTTACACTCTCCAGACTCCTTCTCGAACTACGTAAGCATGGCAACCTAGAACTACTGGGACTAGTAGAGTGACACACAAGATGCTACAGCGTTATGAACCACACGACTAAATCAACAACAAGAAAACTACTACTCATGGATTTTTTCAAAAAATAATGCCAACTATAAAGACACACACAAGGCTAGGGAACCAACCATATCTTCTTTTGAATGGACGGTGTCGCATCGATCATCGCCTTGTCGATCTTTGGTTTGTGACTCTTCCGATGTGCTCTTTTTTTAGTGTAATTGGTTCTGGTTGAGTCTCCAGAACTTACTACAAAACCTCCGAGTTCAGTGAGGTTTGCGTATCAAATAATGTGGGACTATTTTTGTACATTTAGTAAAGCCACATCGCGTATTTTTTTGGCTCAAGACCATACTAGAAATGGAGGAACCAAAAGGATTCACAATAAAATTTAGAGTAAAACTTAAAGTCGAAGAATTTTTTTATGAAATGAGAGAGAGAGAGAGATTTGTAGTTGTGTGTTTCATTTTAAAAAAAAATGAATTTTTAGGAGATGATTTTTTTAATTAATATGTAACGACATTATAGTCTATGGAAGGACGGGGTTGCTCAATTCATCCGTTAAACGTTTGACACAAGGAGCATATGCCCTGATGAAGCCCCAAGGGGGTAGTGTTTAACGCCCGGAGCGTTAAAATCGAAACCCCTCGGTGTTAAAACCATTTAATTTCCTATGCCCTTAAACATGGACACTATACGTGTTCGTTCCAATTCTAAAACTGCCGGTTCTCGATATTATAAGGGGGTACCGGCACTGTCACCGGTGGTTGGCACTAAGATCATGGTTTGATTTATCGGTGGTTCTCGGCATCAATCGATAGACTACTAGTCAATGTCAGCGGCTAGCGCGACAAATGACAATGTGGTTGTGGTAGTGTGCAGTGTGGTAGTGACAGTGTGACAATGCGATGAGTGTGAAATGGTAACAATAAAAGTATTAACTCTTGTTTTGATTGTAAATATCTTATGATTTCTATTAGGGTTGTGCATTATTCAGTCCAAACCCGGACCGACCGAAGACCGGCCAAAATCAGACCGGACCGGTCCGGTCCTAATTTAGTCCGGTCTCCGGTCCATCAATTTCCGTTATCCGGGTTCCGGTATGGTCCGGTCCAAACCCAGTGAGACCGGTGGACCGATTATATGGGCTTATATTTTACTATTTTAGTATATGGGCTTAAGTACCATACAAACCCATTAGTCCATTATCCCAAATTATGGAATCCAGCACAACCCTATCCAATAGCAAATCCACAGAGGGCAGCACAGACCAAAACTCCACTCTCCTCGCCAGCAAAAGAAATATCAAACGACGAACTGATTCCGCCGAATAATCCGACAAAACGCAGGCCTATGTGGGATTATGGGATTTTTTTATGGGATTTTTTTGGAGGATTGAAGTATGTTGTTTGGAGCATTGGAGTAATGGAGTATATTGTTTTTCTCAATTCTATTAATTTTTAAAGATATTGCCATTCTCCCAAGTGCAAATCTTCAAAGTTCCAATTAATTGGCATATTCGGTCCTTATTCGGGCCGGTCTAGTTTTTTTCGGTCCGGTCTCAGTCCGGTCTTATAAATACATTAATATAAAAAGTGTTACTAAAATTTAAAGTTTAAAACTTAGAATTTATAATTTAAATTTTGAAATTTAAAATTTAAAGTTTAAAATTTAAAATCTAAAGTTTAAAATTTAAATTTAGAGTTTAAAGTTTACCTGGAGTATAATTTAATATGGAAACCCTTTAAAATTTAAAATTTAAAATTTAAATTTAAAATTTTAAAATTTAAAATTATAAATTTGAAACTTAAAATTTAAAATTTAAAAATAAAAATTAAAATTTAAAACTTAGAATATAAAATTTAAAACTCAAAATTAAAATTTAAAGTTATAAATTTTAATGTTTTAATTTTAAAGTTCTAATTTTTAGTTATAAGTAAGGAACTTTAAACATTAAATTTTAAATTTAATGTTTCGAATTTAAAATTTAAAATGGTTAATATTTATGTTTTAGTTTTTTATTTATAATTATATATGTAGTAATTTTTAATTTAAAAATTGTAATTTTAAAGTTTTAAATTTGAAAATAGTAGTTTTATTTTTTTTATTTTCACTTTTTTTTATTTTTAGTTTTTAAATTATAGTTTTTAGTTATTAGTGTATTTTTAATATTAAAGTTTAAATTTCAAATTTTATATTTAGGCACATATTTCGTGTACCCTAGATTTATTATCATTTTATGAACTTTAGTGTTTTTGTAATCTTAAAGAATCGAGTCTTGTGTTAAAGGAAAAATATTAACATGTTGCTCAGGAAAATGTTGCTCAGGAAAATGTGAGAAAATTCACATTTTAAATATGAATCTTGAAATCATATATTAACACTCTATATTTTAAATTTTTAAGAGCTAGATTTTATAAGACATCTTTCATTGCAGGGCCGGCCCAATATGAGGACAAAGTCTCCATCCGGACCGGGCCCAAGTATTTAAGGGGCAATTTTTTTAAGTATTATACATATATGTGTTTATAAGAAGCCCACCACAATTTAAAGCTCAATCCACATCTCCAATCCTTAGCCGCCTATAGTCGTAGACAAAAGAAAAAAAGAAGAAACCGATCGAGCTTCGAAGGAGAGTAGGAGACAGACGGAAGAAGCATTGGGATTTGCTGATTTGGCGATTTGGGAAGAAGCCGAAGAAGAACTGATTTGACAATTCACGACAGACAACGGCGGACGGACCTCCAGCCTCTAAGTTTTTTTCATCTGTCTCCTTCGATCGGTTCTTTCTTTTTCTAATTTTGTAATTTTTATTTCTTAATTTTCTTTCATTTTTTCATTTTTTATATTTAAAATCTAGGGTTAATTATTAACTTTTAATTTGAAATCTTTTCTAATTTCATTCTTTGAAATAGAATGAATTAATGGTTCTATATGTTATTTATTTGATTTTGATGAATTGATTGAATTTGTTATTCATGATATATTTATATTAAAAAACTAAAAACCAAAAAAAAAAATAAGAAACTGACAAATTGACGAATTGATATAAAGTTATGATTTATAAAAAAATTAAAACTGAAAAAGAAAAAAAATAAAAAGAAAAATTAACGAATTGATATGAATTTATGATATATTTATTTATTTGCTTGCTTTTTGTTAAATACAGTGTGTGTGTGTGTGTGTGTGTATATATATATATATATATATTTAATATTAATGATGTAATCATTGTTTATATGGTAATTTCCGTGTATAGGATTCCTTCCGTAGTTAGGATTCCCTTGTACTATTTATACGAGGCTTAGTCTTCCGTTATTATTTGTAGAAAATAATTATTCTTCATGGTGGACGACATTGTTCTCACGGCCTCTTCCACCGCTCTCCTCACATGCCTCACTCAGCAGCTTAAGGGGGAGTTTGCCATAACGGATATGGGGGATCTCAATTTCTTTCTCAGCATTAATGTCCAACGCACTGCTGGGGGGACTCTTTCTTCATCAGACCCAGTTTGCACACGAGATCCTTGAGCGGGCTGACATGCTTCACTGCAAGCCTATCTCCACCCCGGTCGACACCATGGCGAAGCTGTCAGCCACGTCCGGCACACCACTTTCGGACCCCACCATCTACAGATCCATTGTCGGGGCCTTACAGTATCTGACAATCACCCGTCCCGATCTCACCTATGTCGTACAGCAGCTCTGTCTTCATCTTCATGCCCCCCCGCAGCTCTCATCTCACGGCTATGAAAAGGATCATGCGTTACATCCACGGCACCGCCACCCATGGCATCACTCTCCACCGCACCAGTACAGATTCATTACAGGTATCTTCGGATGCTGATTGGGCAGGATGCCCCGACACTCGTTGCTCCACATCTGAGTATTGTGTTTTCCTTGGGGACAATCTCATCTCTTGGTCTTCTAAGAGACAGGCCACCACTTCTCGCTCTAGTGCTGAGGCCGAGTACCGCGTCGTGGCAAATGCGGTAGCTGAGGCTAGCTGGGTCAGAAATCTTCTCCTTGAGCTTCATCAACCTCTTCGACGTGCTACACTGGTCTTCTGTGACAATGTCAGTGCTGTATACCTCTCGTCTAATCCCGTCCAGCATCAGCGCACCAAACATGTTGAGGTCGATATTCACTTTGTTAGAGACAAAGTTGCCCTTGGTCATGTTCGAGTTCTGCATGTTCCCTCATCTTCTCAGTATGCTGATATTTTCACCAAAGGACTCCCGTCTCTCATATTTTCTGAGTTCAAACACAGTCTCGGCGTTCGACCATCGCCGATCACGTAGTTGGACGCATGTTAAATATAGTATATATATATATATATATATATATATATAATATTAATGATGTAATCATTGTTTATATGATAGTTTCCCTGTATAGGATTCCTTCTGTAGTTAGGATTTCCTTGTACTATTTATACGAGGCTTAGTCCTCCGTTATTATTTGTAGAAAATAATTATTCTTCACTTTTTCATGTTTGATTTTACTAAGTAGAAAAATTTATGAATTTCGATTTTATTTAAGAAACAAAAATTGACGAATTGATATGAATTTATGATATATTTATTTGTTTGCTTGCTTTTTCATATTTGATTTTACTATGTAGTAGAATTTATGAATTTGGATTTTATTTTAGAACTTCCTGAATCCTCGGTCAGCTTTTACGGTATGTAATTATAATACTATAATTTTGTCATTTTTCCTATTAATATTGCGTTAATTATAATTTAAATATAATTAGTTTACATTTGTAATTTTGTAATTTGTTAGATCATTAGAGATAAGATTTTTAAGTTTTTTTTTCTGTTTCGGTCCCGGCATATGAATTCTTAGGACCGATCCTGTTTCATTGTAATGTATACAAGATTTACTTATTTCATATTTTCATTTGTAGATTTTCCTCAACCAAACGCAACTTATATTCCGTAAATAAACAAAATTACAAAACAAAACAAAACAAAAAGTTTAAAAATTGATCCATCTTTTTTTTAATGGAACGAAAAGAGATCAACGGGAAGCATCGCGATTCTTGTGGCGCGCATCGCCGGAGGTAGAATTCATCGCCGGTTGTTCTGTCGATAAATGTAAGCGAGTTAAAGAATCAATCCCTTGTTGTATGAGCTTATAGCTTTCGTAATCATTTGAATTTCGATCTGGGGGTAAGTTATGTTGCGTGTTTATTAGATGAAGCATTCGATCTGAATAGTGTGTATGTTTCATGGGTTTTAAAAATTGAAATCTGCTATTGGAAAGTTATATTTTCAGCAGCCTAGCGATGATGCATACGGAAGTATGAAAAAGGTTTTTTTTTGTTTTTTTTAAAAATGATTTCATATATAATGCAGTCTTATTGGAGTTAACGGCCTTTAGTAATTAAGTGTTCTGGGACTTGAGTTGAAAACACCAGGAGATGTTTATGAAACAAAGGTTTTGGTGGTTTCATTAGATTTCATTGGCTTAAGGACATTCCCAAAGCTTCCGGTACGAAACCACCAAACAATGTTGTTGTTTGTTGGTTTCGTGCCGGAAATCTAACGAAATACTCCATAGTTGCTTGAAGCTGTTTAACACATATTCCCTCTGTTCGGATTTTGTTGTCAACTTTCTTTAAAAAAAACTCAGTTTAAGAAATGAGTTTAAGTTGTCAAATAAGTTCTTGAAATGAGTTTGCCCCTCATTCATGTCAACAATGCTCAGACGGCCTTGTCTATAGGATATTTTAGACAATTCATCATAATTTATTTATTGAATATGGAAATGGGATAACTAATTCAGGACAACTTATTATCATTTGTTGCAATCTGATCATATTAATGAAATTTCTTAATGGTGGGGATCCCATTCTTCTTGTGCCATTAATATTATTTACATAACATCAGTATTGTATTTTTGTATGCCATACTGCCTGCTGGTTGAATCAAATTTTACAAGATATCCTATGAATTCCATCAGTTTCTGTTAATATCATGTTTTTCCCATTTAATAAGGAATCTTCTGAACATAGACAGTTGACTCGATAGTCTCGAAGAGCCTGCATAGGAGATCTATGTATTTAATTGTTTTCTTAGTGTAGTTTCATTCATCTGAATGTAATTTGACCCGGGATTTTGCATTTCTAAGATAAAAATCAAAGTAAAAAAGCTGTTTCTATCCTCTCCAGTTTTTCTCCTTTAGTTGACTAACTTGGAGGGGTCTCATCTACAGATATTTTTAACTATTTTCTTAGATAAATGATTACAGTCTTAAAGTTAAACTGCAGATTTGCTTGAAAAGAGACAAGTAGATTTGTATATTGTATATTCCTCTTTCTCAACGATCAGCATTTCGTGTCAGAGTTCAGACTAGTAGAAGTGGAGAATGGTCAACAGGTTACTTAATTATGTGGTTTGTGCTCCATATCATAAAATTTTCTTTTTAATCTTCTTTCATGGACAATCTGTAATGGAGTATTTCACACTCCCTCTTTGCTTGAAAAGGGCTGGAGTATTTTGATGCGCAGGAGTTACCATGTTACAGTGCTTAGAGGGAATCAAGAATTTGGGGGCATCATTACTACGATGTTGTGATCTTGATTTGTATAGACAAACAGGAGGACTTGACGATCCTGAAATCCTTGCAAGAGATACCGTGTGTATGTTACTTTGACAATTAAATAATTAATCTTTGTGGTGACTGTGGAGTTATAGGTTTGAATACTCAATCACTGTCTCTGTTTGGTGCAGTTAGTGTTAGTGAAATTGAAGCGCTCTATGAATTGTTTAAGAAGATCAGCAGTGCTGTGATTGATGATGGGCTAATCAACAAGGTCCTTGTTCATTTTTTGTATTCACACTTTTCAAGATAGCTTACTCTTCTGCTTGTATTTTCATATTCTTCTTAAACCTAAACAATGTTTAGCTTTGACATTGGGTATTAATGTATTGTACTACAGGAAAAGTTCCAATTGGCCCTATTCAAGACCAACAAAAAAGAAAGTTTGTTTGCTGATCGGGTACTTATTTACATCTTAGATTGTTTTGTAATCTTCTTTATACAATATTATAAACTCTTGGTTATTTGTTTTTTTGACTTATTATTTGAGAAGACTCAAGAAAGTGCCTTCGCATGTTTATGGCATCCTCCCATGATGCAGGTGTTTGACTTGTTTGACACAAAGCATAATGGTATCCTTGGTTTTGAGGAGTTTGCTCGTGCACTTTCTGTTTTTCATCCAAATGCCCCTATTGATGATAAGATTGAGTGTATGCTAGATGCAATTATCTGTGTCTTTTAAATGAAAATTTCGTATTCAAACTACTCCATGGTACTTGTAGTATTTAATGTGTCATTTATTAATCTTGCAGTTTCTTTTCAACTATATGATCTCAAGCAACAAGGTTACATTGAGAGACAAGAGGTTACTTTCTTTTTCTTTCTTTTTTCATTCAAAAATTGATTTCAGTGACAGTTTTATTTGTCTTCTGATACTTAGGTGAAGCAAATGGTGGTTGCTACCCTAGCTGAATCGGGCATGAACCTTTCAGATGATGTGATTGAGAGCATTATTGACAAGGTGCATTTTTTTATCAATCATCATAGATGCCTATTTTTATACTCCCTCTGCCCCACAAAGAACTTCACACTTTCGTTGTTATGAGTTCTATTGGCCCGATTATAATGTAGTATCTCTTAATACTTTCTCGAACCCCATGAATCTTGGGGACTAGGCTTTCTTCCCAAAAAAACATCACTTTTACTTTTTGCTTAAAAGTTAAGAAATATGTGGCCTACAAAATTTCTCTCCACTCTTAACAAATTTCCCCCACACTTTTCTCGAACTCCGTAAAGTCAAACACTAAAGTTCTTTCGGGGCACAGCCGTGCAGGGAGTATATATATCCCCATTCACCCTTTGAAGGATTGTGTTTTGATCTTGGAAGAACTGCACAGCCTAATTAAAATTTTAAACATAAACTTAACTCTTTCGAGACAGGATCCTCACATTCATTTTGCCGCGTAATGATCCTTTTCATTTATGAATTTTTCTTGAATCATTCCATTCTTTCAATACCTGAAATTGGGAACCAAAGTTGGTTTATTTTGGTCTTTTTAATTTAAAAAAAACTTCTTTATGTGCAGACGTTTGAGGAGGCAGATACAAAACATGATGGGAAAATTGACGAGGAGGAATGGAGGAACCTTGTCTTGAGACACCCGTCGCTTCTAAAGAATATGACCCTTCAATACCTTAAGTATATCTCTCACAAGTCTCCAAACTTTTTACCAATTTTGCTGCTTTTTTAACCTTAAAACTTCTCGCGCTCATATTACTATAGTATTAGTTAACTAATAATCCGCGTCAAATTGCTAACATTATATTCTCACTTGAATAAACCAGGGACATCACAACTACATTTCCAAGCTTCGTCTTTCACTCTAGAGTCGAGGATACCTGATAAATTATTGCTGCTGCATCAGATTGTTGTATGAAGTCAGTTTTCTTCTTTTTTTCGCGACTTGCTTTCTGATTTGTATTTTCATTAAGGTGTTTTCTTTTGATTTCAATCTTAACTTATTTCTTATTCTTTTTAGGACCATCATATATGTAATTTTGCTGACAATAAAAATTTTGATCAGTGAATTGAAATCCATGCCAGAATATGCAATTTTTGCGGCTGCAGACAGACAATTTTAGTGGGTTCAAAATTGTATTCTACACTGATCACAAAGCAAGCTATACGCACGAGGACTGCGTTATCAAATCCTACATTTCTCTACTTGTGCTCGCGTGATCTTTTGTAGGTATGTAAATGAATTGAATACTCAAATATTCGACAATTTTAGAGGTGTTCGGATTCAAATATTCGATAATTTTAGGTCTTTAAGGTCTATAGTTTGGCCCGAGCCAATTTTTTTAAAGCTTTTTCAGTATCGAACTTTGTTGGGGCTGGTCTTCGGTCCAGAAATTTATGGATTTCGGTCTTTGGACCGGTGCGATCCGGTTTTGAATCGATAAAAAACCCTGAGTTTAATAATATAATAAAATACACCATATGTAATACCACTTTCATATTACTATACCCTCTTGTCTCCCACAATTCACCTTCTCTTCCTCGCTTCCAAGCTTCATTAGTGAAGATCCAAGGGAATCCTATTTATGTGTACATATATTCTCCAAATATATACTTCCTCTGTCCCATAAAAATGTTCCAATTTTAATTTTTTTGAAATTTAAGGGAGAGATATTTTTGTGTTAACTTTCTAAAAATACCCTTGATGTGATGGATAGATTATTAGTAAAAAGGTATGATGTGATAGTTAGGTTAAGAATTAGGAGGGGTAAAAGTGATTTTTTAATATAAATGAAAAAGAGTTTGTGGGACAAGAAAAAAAGAAAAGGGAAAGAGTTTTTGGGAAGTTATTTGTGCCAATATATTTATATTCATGCAACTATATTATTTCTATATTTCTACACATGTACTCTTTGTACAAAAAAATGGGTACAATGTTAAATTGTTTCCCTTCAACTACGTGCATGCTTGACAATGATTTCAACGTATAGTTTTAGTGTTTCAAAATAACTATTAATGTTTAATTCTAATATTTTCAAATTTAATTTACACCATTCTAATTGAAACATCGTTCCCAAAAAAGGCCTACATTCAAAAAAAGTAATGCACTTGCTTTAAAAAGAATTCATGTTTCACAATGTATAACTGTTAAAAATCCTAACTTTCACTTGGAGTAAAGATATTTATGTTACTTAGAAGTTAGAACCAAATTTATACTCTTTGCATCCCATAAAAAACTTCATAGTTTTGATTTGAGCATTTATTTGATAAAATAAAATGATTATCTTTTGTCTCGTAGAACTTTTACTCTTGTTTTTTAAATATATCAATTTTATTTTTTCAGTTTTAGGACCAATTTTCGAAAGAAATTAAATTAAATATAACTTCAATCAAACATCGAAATTGTAACAAAAAGGTCTTTTTAAGATTAAGGGAGTATGTTTAACTCGTTAGATCATGTAATGTAACAATATTAAATGTAACGAATATTATGTTATTTTGGTTAAATTTTCAATTTGGATGCATGAATTTGTATTATGATCGATTTGTATTATATTATTATTATTATTAATTTTTTTTTTATTATTATTATAATTATTGTTATTGTTATCATCATTTTCGTTGTTGTTGTTATTGTTAGTATTATTATTAGGGAATGGAGGTAGTATTTGTATTATGATTTGTATTACTCCGTATTATTATATTGTTATTATCATTATTCTTATTATAATTATTATTACTATTGTTATTGTTATTACTATTATTGTTGTTGTTGTTGTTATTATTATTATTACTAGGAGTCTTGATTTATAGGCCAAATGCACAGTAACAAAGTCTCCAATAATAAGTTAGAGTCTTGACCAATCCGCAAGGGTAGCTCAACTGGTCTGAGAGATTAAATTTAGAATAAGATATTAGTGATCAAGTTTCAACAGTAGTAGTGTGGGAGCGACTTCTCAAAAAATGAGGGGGCTCTTTGTGCGTAATGAGCACTGGTCTCAATTTTTTTGTCGGTTGAGTTATCATGATTTACATCCTTTTACAATCTCGTTGCGTAGGGAGTGAAGGGCGTCCGGGATGAGAGATTTTGCTTTTTTGAATAATAGTCTGGATCAAATATACTCGGTACTTTGCAGTAGTGCCGAATGCCGATGGTTTGTTTTTCTTTTACTAATTCACTTTGCAGTAGTGCCGATGGTTTGCTTTTCTTTTAAATTGATAAATGGAATGCACTTTATATTTCTTGGCACTTGATACTTAGACCACTAAAGCCCTGTGACTTTAAACCTTCTCTCTACCATATCACTTTTAACTTACACTACAATTTTACTAGAAATGGATTTGAAGCCTTGAGGCTTTAAATTGGAGGGGTTCAAACCTCTATTTTTTATATTTTTAAATACACAACTTCTAAAATTAAATTAATAAAATTTCGTTATTTAATTTAATTTAAACGACAATAACTCATTAAATAAAAAATTATATTCAATAAAAAATTACATTAATATAATAAGATTTGAATAATAAAAACATAAATAAAAAAATACATTACATTACGAAGACATTAATGATTATTTGAGCGAATAAAAATATCTTCTCACTGGCCTTGTTATCACCATTGATAACGAAAAATGAGAGTACTCTTTTCATCATCAGATGATGATCTCATTTTTTGAATATTTGGTAGAGATAATTAAAAAAATATAAATATTTTAGAGTAATTATGGAGATAATAAGAACTAATTGTGTGTGTTTGTTGTGTTAAAAATAAGGGGTATTTATAATATTAAAAATATTTTTTAAAAAAAAAATTAATGTCCAACGGTCCAAATTATGGCCGTTGGGGAAGGGAGAACCGTTGGGGGAAGGAAGAGGCGATGCGTCAAACCTTTGACGCAAACCTTTTAACGTCCGGATGACGGTAAAGGGGGACGAGGTTTAACGCCCCCGTGTTAAACCACCATTAAAATGTGGTTTGTATGTTATTGATCGATGTGTTAAAATGTGGTTTTTATTGATTTTTTTAAATCTAATGACGAAGAATGAGCTAATATCCATGCTTTTGTTGAAAATACCTAAGTGAATTTTTCCATCTAATGTACCTTGAGAAGCTCACTTTAATTTTTATTCTATTATTGTTGTTATTACAGAGTATAAAATAGTACCGGAGTAATTATTTGTCAAAAGAATTTGTACTCCAATGACACCAAAGTGACTCTAGCAAGTAGGAGGTCACGAGTTGAACTTTTCGTAGAAACGATATGTTTCAGTGGTTCAATAGATTGAGAATGTGTGTGTGAATGCATAAATAGATTATTAATGCAAATATTGTATAAAATTATTAAGGCTAAATAGCTCGAGTGTCCCCTGTAGTTTAAAAAATTTCGACCAATACTCTTTTTTTTTTCAAAATTTATTTCTAAAGTTCCTATGATTCTAAAACATTGCACCTCTCTCATCATTAGCCACGTTCATGCTCGCATGGGCAACTCAGTTGGTCGAGAACGTGAAATCTTAGACCGATGACCAGGGATCGAGTCCCGCAAGCAACAGTTTGGGAGTTATCCAAAAATTCCATAGAGGGTGAGGAGTCTCCTTGTGCGTGGTGGGGGAGCTAAACAAATTGACCCAATTCCCACTTCCCACTTCCTCAAAATCGGAATTCTCAATGTGGACTGCCTCAACCCTCGCCGTCTGCCCGTCTCCTCTCAGGCTCTCACCGACCGGTGACCGATCACTACAAACCTCCATCCTCCGCCGCCTGGATCCTTCCAATTACTCGAACAAATCTTCATCTATCTTCTATTGCTACTTTGACATGTTTTTTCTCTTACATAATTGAATCTAATTATCTAAATTGGATATTTCTTTTTTATTTGTAAATTGTAAAAATTTTAATTTAATGTTATAAATTTGTTAATATGAATAGAAAAATAGGGAATTAAACTCATTTATTTATTTTATATGATTTTGATTTGTGCACAATTCCACCTTTTGGACGGACGTTCATAATACCTACTTAAATGCCACGTTAATTAGATCATATAGGGAAGGAGTAGTGGAGTATGATTGCCTTTGAAGAAGTCTAAAGCTACATTAACTAGCCACGTTAATCTCCTTATTTAATGCCGTTAGAGCAACAATAGAGAAATGATTATTTCACAAATAAATTTGTCACAAAATTCATAAATTTATTATTTTAGACTTTCAATAAAAAATAAAATAGTCTAAAATAATTTAAAAATGAAAACTTAAATAAAAAATAACAAGTTTATAATTTTTTGTGATCATTTTGTTTGTGAACGTAGCAATGTTTCAAAAGATAAATTAGATAGAGTATGAGAGTTTGTAAATTTTGTGACTTTATTCCTTTAACTCTAGCATTGCTCTAAAAATTTCAATTTATAGAAACATAAAATGTAAAAAATGAAATTGTAGAAAAATCACATTTATTTATTTTTGTAGAAGAAAGAAAGTAAAGCCAGACATAATTTTACACTTTACCGATTTTGAGATGGTAAAAATTAAGGTATATGGTACAACCGGGTGTACGATACATCCAGATAGTACTCATTCTGAATTAGAGTAGTATTCATCTCGCACAAATATAATTAGTGTGGTACTCATTCTAAAATAGTGCAGTACTCATTTTCACACATCGGTTTAATATAATTATAAAATTCATCTACAAATACTGTAGTGTTCATTCTGAAATAAAACAGTACTCATTTTCAAATAACTTAATTTTCATTTTCATATAAAATAAAATTTATACCATAAATAATTTCTGGATTGTACACAAAATTGGATACAACCGGATGTATAATATAATTTGCCTAAAAATTGTGGCATGGAAAATTTTACTCCGTATATGGTAAAAGTATTAGTCCGTACTCCGTACCTTATAGTTACACAATGTTTTAATTAATATTAGAGAAAATAAAGCTTAAATATGAGTTAAATTTAAAAATCCAGAGATTTCAGAAAGCCGTGGCTTTTTTGTTAGGACGAGGATACGTTGCACAGAGCAAAGAGAAAAAATTTTTTTAACGGGGTGTTGCGAGAATCGAACTCACGACCTCTCGCACCCGAAGCGAGAATCATACCACTAGACCAAACACCCGCGTTGTTCATCTACGCCAGCTTATTATATATATAGAAAATATCTCAAAAGCGCCTAGAACTTATATGTTGTACCGGCTAGGCGGCTACCAAAACAATGTTCTCTCCACCTTTTTCGTCCACTGGCATCACTCCCGTGCGTTGCACGGGTCATAATTATATTACTAAATTAAGATCATTTTTGAAGGATACAATTTCTTATCTAATACTTCCTCCGTCCCTGACACATCTTCCCTTTCATTTTTTCTTTGTCCCACAAACTCCTTTTTTATTAAAAAACTACTTTTACCCCTAACTTTTTCATACCCTACCTATTACATCATATCTTTTTACTAATAATCTATCTATCACATCTTACATTTATCAATCACATCAAGGGTATTTTTGGAAAGTCAACACCAAATTATCTCTCCTTTAATTTTCCAAAAAGTCAATAAGGGAACTTCTTTCGGGACGGAGGGAGTAGAATATAAAGATTTTATTACTTTAAGGTACAAAAGTTAAATCTTTTACAAATAACGAAAGACTTCTTTATGAACTACATTACTCGTATAATTTTTATATATCAAACTTTTGTATCATTTATTTATTTAAAGACTTCTTCATGATTTTCTACTCCGAAAGCATGAATCTTATTTAAGAACTCAATATAGTGTAAGTAATTCAAAAAATTTGAAAGAGGCTAATTACGAAAAGTGATTGAGAATGACGACTGTATTTAAAGTATGAAAAAGCTAAAGTATTTTTCTATTTCCATGCATCTAATTTTTTTTCGGGTAAGTTATTAATTAGTGGTTGATTGTTCAACATATAAACGTATATATTATTCAATACGTTTCCATGTATTAAAAGCACACCTCTTAAAACGATGTCTCCATAAAATGTTTGGGCCTGGATCTCTAAATGAAAACATTATATTTAAATTGAAAGCTTATTTGGTTAGAATTATTACACGATAATAATAACTAAGTACGATAATATTATTACACTATATATTATTATTATTATTCTTTCACGACAATAAATTAATAATGATTAAATACATTAATATTTTTGCACGGTATATTAGTATTATTTTTTTTACACGGTAATACATGATTTATTCTTGCTACAAAGTAATTTATGATTTAATTATTATTTCTATATTCAACACTTAACATATGTGCCACCATTTCTATGTATTATTTTGACATTTTTTATATTTAATTTCTTTTATTATTTTTTATTTTGATTTTTTTAATTGTGCCTTCCTTAAATGCATAAACTTATATATTTAAATTTCTTCATAAAATATTTGGCGCCATAATAAATTAATAATGATAAAATATGGTAATATTAAGTTTGGCCATGTTCTCTAAATGGAAACATTTTTAAATTGAAAGTTTTTTGGATTAGAATTATTAGACGATAATAATGACTCAGTACGGAAATTTTATTACATAGTATATTATTATCATTTTTCTTACATAGTAATAAATTAATAATGATTAAATACGGCAATATTATTACACGATATATTAATATTATTATTCTTGTTACACGGTAATACATTATCTATTCTTATTACACGATGATTTATTATTTAATTATCATTTATTTATTCAACACTTACTATATGTACCACCATTTCTATGTATTACTTTGACATTTCTTTTAGATTTGATTTCTTTCCGAAAAGGAAACAAATGGTTTGTATGATTAAAATGGTTTGTTTCTAAATTGGAAAAGGAAACAAATGGTTTGTATGATTAAAATGGTTTGTTTCTTAATTGGAAATTATATAAATTACGAAACTGTAAATTTAATGCATTGATTAAAAAATTAACAGCTTAACGTGATTATTACCTTTTATGGACAAATATTATTTTTAGTTGAATGGTAATCATTTTTTTATTATATCAATTCCAATTTTATAAAAAAGTTCGGTATTAGAAAAGAAGTTTATATAAATAATATTTTTTATATTTTGTTTCCTTTTTAAAAATATATTAGGCAT